ACAAAAAATTCCACCCGCTATATATTTGTTGTTTAAAGCCCTATAAATATTCTCCATTAGATTATAAGTAGCTAATGTAGTTGAAGAGTTTTTTCTAAAGCCGAATTGCTCCTGCGTTAGCAGGTTATGTGTATTTAAGTGGAAAATCATTCTTTTATATATAACTTTTTCAAAAATTTTAGAAAAGATTGGGAGTAAAGATATAGGTCTATAATTAGACATGTCGGTTTTATCCCCTTTTTTGTGTATGGGTATTATTTCAGAATATTTTAATCGAGCAGGGAATATTCCTGTAGACAATGACTTATTAAATATGTAAGTTAATGGTGATGATATATATGGTGCACTTGCTTTTATTAATTTGGTAGTAATTCCATCATATCCACAAGCTGCTTTGAGTTTTATAGATCTTATTATCTCTTCTATTTCATTGCTGTTAGTTGCTTTTAATACCAATTTCTGAGATGGTTTTGGAAATGAAGTGTATAAATAATCCATGAACTTCTTATCTGTTTCCACAGTATTATTTGTCCATTTCTCCATAGAATTGCTTATATCTAAAAAAAAGTTATTAAACGATCTTGCTATATTTTTGTAGTCCTGAGTGATATTACCCTTTATCACTAAGTCACCTTAGTAGAAGCTTGGCTATTTCCAGTCATGTTTTTTATAATTTTCCAGGTTGTTCTTGTTTTATTATTGGAAGTTCTTATGACTTTGTTCAGATATAACTTTTTTGCTGTTGAGATAACTCTACTTAATATCTTGCAATACATTTTATAGTGTTCTTTTAATCTAGAATCATTATTGCTCTTAATTTTTATATAGAGTTCCCTTTTTTTATTATATGATTTTATAATTCCTGGGGTTATCCATAATTTATTAGCATCTATACTTTGTGATTTTGTGATCTGAAAACATGAATTTAGAATCCTAAGGTTAGTATTTAAAAAGTTATTAAACATTGTATCCACATCACTATCTACAAAAATATCATCCCATAATTCATAGCTCAGATTAATTTGGAAGTCTAATAGAGAGGATTCGTTGATGACCCTACGGGTATACCTCTGATTTTGCTTCATTATATATGTAACATTGTATATTATAATGATCTGCCCATCGTGATCAGATAATCCATTTTCCCATGGAAGAACACTGAAACTTTTGTTTTTATATTTGTTAATAATAATATTATCTATTGCTGTGGATGAGTTAGAGCAAATTCTAATCGGAAATGTAACTGTACTATATAGCCCGTATGAAGCTAGTAGCGAATCCAGTTTTTGTTTGTAATTAGTATCCACCAGGTAATTTATATTCACATCCCCACATATTATTATGTTTTTTGAGTTTTTGTACAATTTGTTCAGGAATTTGTTTAAATTTTCCAAGAAATAATTAAAATCACCAGTTGGGGCCCTATAAATACATATTATGTACATACTTGGTGAATTCACTTGAACACCACACATTTCTAGATCTTTCTCTTTACATGTAACAATATTGTTTATATGTGTAAATTGTATATTCATTCGGACAAAGATACATACACCTCCTTGCTTAAAATTTTTCCTACAGTATTTGCTAGCTAATACATATTGGTTCAGAGTAATACTGTTTATTTCAAACTCTTTTAAATGATGCTCTGATAAACAAATAACATGCGGTAGCTCAGAAGTAAATGCTAATATTAATTCATCTGTTTTATTATTGATACCCCTAATATTTTGGTGGTAAATTATGAAGTTATTTTGATTCATTACATTAAAATTATTTGACTTAAAGTTACCTTTATCATACTTATCTAGATTTATATTTCCCATAAAAAATCTTTATTTCTTGCCATTGATACTTTTTTATTACGTGTAGATTGTCTACTACGTTTACTATCTGGAATCGGGTTCTGTAGTGGATTTCCACTCATTGTACTTGGTATCGCTTTATCTTTGCTATTCGTATCTATTATATTATTCCCTAATTTGCATTTATTTGAGTTAATGCTCACTGCTTCTTTACATCTTACTGTTGACATTTGTTGTTTCTCAGAGCCCTCCCCACCTACAACACCTTCACATGTCCTCATTGTCTGTTCACCCTCACTCAGGTTTTCACTTTCCCTATCTTCTTCCTTTCCCCTTCCTTTGTCTTCCTGTTGTGGCTTCTTTATTTCCATATTTATTTTGTCCGCTTTATCTTCTTGACCGTGTGCCTCTAAATCTTGTACCCAATGTTGGGCATCACCCAGACATCTCCACTTTAACACAATTGGTACCGATTTGCTTATGGTAAACAGACTATTTATCACTGTTGCTAGTCTTTTAGCAGTATGCTCTTTCCCCTGAGAATTTAAATGCAAACCATGTCTGGTGAATAAGTAATAGTGAATAAGTGAATAAGTGAATAGTGAATAAGTAAGCCTTTTCTAACTTCACGAGTTTTCTATTAAACTTCTGAACTTCATCAAGGTCATATCTGGGTGGGACATTTATCACTATAACATTTGTGTGATTACGAGAATTAATTATCTTTTTTAATGCTCGCATTCCCAAATTAGACTCATTTCGACCAACATCATTTGAACCACCCCACACAACACACACATCAATTAATTAATTAATTGATTAATTTGAGAACTTTCATATATACCTCCCCCACTACCTCAAGCAATGTCCTTTTTCTGATTACAATTGTAACCTTTCTTATCCAACATATTTTAATCAAAGTCAACTAGAATATTCCATTTTCTTATCAAATTCTCTAGTATTTGTTCATGTTACTGACATCCATTCTAGAGACCAAAATCAGCCATATTTATAAAATATGTAACACATATGTATTTACAGTGTAATGCCAGCATGATTTTTAAACTCCATCTTTAGAATACTCTTATTTTAATGTTTCTTGTATAATTCCTCAAATCCTTGTTCAAAAACAATAGGTTAGTGTACTGTTAGGGTGTCGCAAATGTTCTGAAAATTGTGCATGTGTTTGGTGTCTCTGTTTTACATGTGCATTAGCAAATGATATGAAAATGATCCACGTTATTATTGTAGATAAGTACTAGACTGTGATAGATCCAACTGTGTTCTTAATTTTTAAACATCTATTTAGCAAGAGAATGTTTTAGACAGAATAACCCTAAATTTATCATTTCCATTGGCAAATGAAGTTCTTGAAGTACCCAAATAAAGCAAGGTCTAATACATATAAAATAGAGCTCATGCTCCTAAATCCAGATAGGCAGAGAAGAGTTAGCAGATCAAACCTGAGACAGATGGATGGCTGGAATGGAGGATGAGCTAAGATACTTAGGGTGAGAGAATGGATTGAAAAAATATATTGGAAGTGTCCAGGGCCCAAAATGGGTTGTAGAGCCATTAGTAGGAGTAGGAGTAGTAACATAAACTTAATTGAGAAGTTCCAGAATGTAGTGAAATTTATGGCAAATGTGAGTCATACTGCGTGACAGAGTGGAGATTTGAGCTTAATCTACAATCTGTACTATTTAACATTGTACATAGTTACTTTTCAGTTTGTCAAAATTGTCTACACAGATAGAGCTGTAAATTCCTTGGAGTCCTTGTATCCAGGCATCAAATTCATTTCTGCCTTCCTCTGGTTTACATGATGTATCAATTATATCTTGAGCACAAGAGAGGGCATCTGAACTGGCACTGCAACATATGTCATGAGATGAAATAATATTTCATGGGAAAACAGACATTCAGTTTTCATTATTACAATGCAGCTATGTCTGGATGGGTCAGAGAGCCAGGGTTCAGTTATTCTGGCTAAGAGTGATACTACAATTAAGATACAGTTAAAAACTACAATTGAAACAAATGGTGGTATAAATTTTGAAAAATGTTTCCATACATTCTTAGTACAAATTGCACAAAGTAAAACACAGTTAAAGGAGCTGAACACAGATTGTGTGGCATAACCTGGTTTGTACACACCTCTCTTCAGGGAAACATCAAGAAACTCCCCTCCAACTTCTGTACACTGTTTCAAACGTGCAAAAGGCTTAGTTTGTTCATGAAGGCACCAGACCATTCTAGAAGTTTTACATAAATAAAACAGTAATTGCAAACTTAAGTCAAGCAGTCTGAGCTAGGATGCAACAAAATGCAAATGTGGGTGTAGACATAGTGCAGAGAGTGCTGTAAATTGCATATTAGCTAAGTGCAACCCATAAGAAGAGGACAAAACAGTGGTGTTATTGTGTGAAAGAAGAACTGTTGTCAAGATCTTAAATGGCTACTGACAGTGAGACAATTAGGGTCCCAAATACTGATGAACATTACAATACAAAATGGTGAGGTCATATCTCTGCATTTTCATGTTAATCTCTATAGCTACAGAAAATATTTAGATAAAATTTTAATTTTAATTCTATATCAAAGGCTAATGGGTGAACTTTACTTCTAGATTTTAAAGGGTTCTTATAATGATGGATGATACACAGAATTACTTGGTTTTTGGACCGAAAAAGTAAAAAAAAAAACAGTAATTCTGTGAACTTTACTTCTGTTTATATCAAAATAATGTAACCGTTATTATATTAAGATGAAATCAAAATCAGTTTTCTCAAAAAGAAGTTATTATGCAAAAGAGACTGTTGATGTACATTTGCCTCAAATAACAAACTTTAATACCATATGTCAAATGTAGGCTACATGTTTTGGTATGTGACCAATACCACAATCTGACTTTCTTTACATGAATATTTGATGAAAGAATGTAGGCCTACTTAACATTAACATATTTTTATTGCAAATATATTAGAATGGCTCATCTGCATATATATAGCATACAAAATGTTTCTATGTATAATATTAAGCAAAATTTATTGAGATTATTGAACTGTATGTTGAAATGGTTATTGCAAATTCAAGAAAGCACACATCATCAGGTAGTGATCAAATTCTGGTAGAACTGATTCAAGCAGCAAGTGAAATATTATGTCCTGGGATCCATAGACTCCTTAATTTTATTTGATGTGAGGAAGAATTGCCTAAGCAGTGGAACAAGTCTTTTATTGTACCAATGCATAATATGGGCATCAAGGTTTAGACCATGTGCAGAAGAAATTATTAGGGATAAGTGGTATGGGTTTGGGCATAAGAGGTCAACTTTTGCATTCGTGAGATACTGAAGAAAAAATATGAGTACGATGAGACAGTACATCAGCTATTCGTAGACTTCAAGAAAGCCTATGATTCAGTTATGAGGGAAGTATTGTACAATATTCTGATAGAGTTTGGAGCACCCATGAAACTAGTTATGCTGATTAAAATGTGTTTAAACAAAATGTTTATTAAAGTCCATATAGGTAAATATTTGAATAATTTTCCTATCCAGAATGGTCTAAAACTTGGAGATGCTTTATTGCTATTGCTTTTTAACATTGGTTTAGAATATGCCATTAGGAAGATCCAGGAAATCCAGGTGGGACTGAATTTAAATGAGATCCATCAGCTGCTGGTCTATGCTGATGATGTAAATCTGTTGGGAGATAACCAGGGCTTGAGGTGGGGTGGGTTGCGGTGGGATGGTATCCCGGTTCTTTTCTAAATGGCTTAAAAGCATCCTGTTACTTCTTTGGCAGTAAATGCAATGTACAATACCTTTTTTGTTGTTGTTATCTGTTTCATGGTTGTACAGGCTACTCCCCTGCATTGTCTAACTAAATTTTGCTTTTGTGTGGTACTGTTTGAAGCACCCGAGAATGCACAGTCCCACATCACATTTCTCGCACTTCATCTGAACATGTTTCCTCTTTCCACGTGCAGAACAAACACGGCATTTCATTCTCATGGCACAAGAGGTCGGCCAGTGATGTTGATGGGCCTCCTCTAGACAAAATATTGTAGATGACAGAGCAGGAGGTCGACCTAATGGGCGTTGTAGTTGGGAGCGACACATTACAGCATGTTCCAGCATGTTGCGCATAAGGGTAAGACGAAAGTCCCTATGTGACAGTTTCCACCAGAGGATAATAGCAGGATGAAACTGTTCGGAATCGTCAGATCCAGTAAATGTAAGACGCTTGTTTGGCAGCAATAAGAGTTTTTCAAAGAAAGTAGGGGGTAGGCAATTTTCCTTTGTATCAACTTCTGCCAAATACCCTGAATAAGCTGAGAAACTTGTGAAGATAGAAATATATAGGCTTACGGCCAGCACACTTTTATGGCATGGGGTTTCTGCTAACAAGCCCAAGTGTTACAAACAGGAAAGATTTTATACTGCAGAACTGTTGTGTGTATGAGCGGAAAAATTTTATACTGCAGAACTGCTGTGTGAAGAATTTTTTAGTTAATTCCATTCATTTCTCATAAAAATTGTATTAGATAGAGCAATTCCAAATACAACGCTCAAGAGCTCTAAGTGGAACTGGCATTTAAACATAGAGCAGAAACGTGGATTTAAACCCCTGCAAGCAGCGGGCATTTAAATAAACCCCGGTCAGCTAACTTTACCTGTGTTTCAAAACTCTGGTGGTTAAAGGCTAAGGAAAGATTAATTTTCGTATTCTTAAGACCGATAATAAATTATACAATGTCAGAAACAGTTTGTCCTTCTCTTGCCTTGCATCCCATCCCATCCCAATGCGGAGGTGGCCTGTCTCCAACAGAACAGTTGTTTACAACAAAATTTTAAGTTTTTCTATTG